TGCCATATTGATCGCCACGCTGTTTGGCAAGAAATCGACATGTCAACTTGTCCCGGCCCGGAAATGCCCTGTTTACTTGTTACACAGGATATTAATAAGTTAATGTGAAAATATGAAGATAAAAGTATCTTTTAAAAAATAAAACGTCTCAAACCTCGATTTGAAAGGCTTTTAAAAACGCTAATCCGTTCGGAACCTACAAATTCGAGGGGTGGTATTTAAGCCTGCGCAACGCAAAGTTTGAAGACCCATATCTTCGCAATCACGCAATTAATCAAAAATCGCCACGAGGAAGTTGAGGAGAATTCTTTTAAGAACAACATATATGAATTTCATGGCAAAAAACAAAAAAACCGCTTGCAGAAAAGCTCCGAAGTAACCCCATATGTTTGTTTACAAATTTCATGTGATGAAGCGTTTTACGCATTCTGATTGGCTTAGGGCAAAAATGTAAACAAAAGCGCTGATTGGTCGAGAACGAAATTCCCCCTTGTTAGTTCCCATTGTTTTTAAAAACCTCACAAATATGTAGAATCGAGAAATGAAAGGAACAAAATGGTTTTGCCTTGAAGACAACTATATATAATTCAAATTATATAGTCAATCCAATTTCAGTCTCCAAACTATCCATCAAACGGAAAAGTAGATTTCCCTCCGTGTCAACAACAGTACAAACTTCCTATTTTCTAAGCATTGCCGTACTATCTGGCCACTGCTATAATACTACACCCCTCCTATGATTGGTAAACAGCTATTTCAATTGACCATTTGCGTAATAGACTAAATTTTGATCTAGACAAAAATTTCATCACAGCTTGAAAGGGCATCACAAAATTGGTAATATTTCCAAAGTTTCGTTGCGAAATGTTGTAAAATGCGGATAATATAGCCTTGCGAAATTTGCAATTTTCAGTCATTTAGATTACAAACGGGAAATTGACAGCCCGATACGCTTTGAGGCTGTCAATTTCCCGTTTGTAATCTAAAAGGACTGAAAATTGCAAACTTCGCAGGGCTATATTATCCGCATTTTACAACATTTCGCAACGAAACTTTGGAATATTATTAATTTTGTGATGCTCTTTCAAGCTGTGATGACATTTTTGTCTAGGCTTGTTTAGATCAAAATTTTGTCTATTACGCAAATGGTCAATTAAGATTGTCATTCATTTATTAGAGATTTCCAGCAGCCTTTCGCGCTCGTATTCGACTTTTCCGCTTTGCTCGGGGGACAACCTTAATTGAAATAGCTGTATATTAGCAGGTCTTAAATAAACGCGAATACCGTGTTTGTTTTATCATAAACAAGCTTAACATTGGCGTTGACTTGTTATTGTCCATATGGATCCTATGTCCTATGTCCTATGTCCTATGGGCTTGACGGTTAGAACTCATATGACTTAAAGGCAGTGGAAATAAAATTCGAGAGAACTCTTAAAATTATATATTAAATTCTATTACCGATTTGCCATATCTTGCTTTTACACCGAAATCAATAACCTGTCCACCATCTTGGACTAGTTCTTGACCTCATTATTTATGCTTTTGATGACGTCAGGAGTTAGGTTAACCATATAAAAATACCCTACAATGACAGAGTGACAAAACAAAATTGTTTGAAATGTTTTTATCATTTCTAAATTTCAGACATCGACCAGAAACGACGTTTTGGACCAATATTGATCCCTGATGTATATTCTCAATAATCCATGATGGCGAACAGCTCACTTTTTTCAGTCAAAATATGTTGAAAACTAAGCAAGATATAAACAATCTGTAATAAAGTTTAGTATATAATTTTAAGAGTCCTTTCAAATGAACTAAACTAATTTCTATTTCCAATAGCCTTCAATATGAAAGAGCAGTTTCTAGCACTTTCCTCACTTCCACGAACAGTTGAACTGATAGCTGAGCAATCACGGAAACATTTTTTTCTTGCCTGTCACCAGGAAGTATTATAATGTGTTATACCTTATATAGACAGTCCAGAATCTCAAGTCTTCCCTTGACCAAAACTTTGACTGTTTTTAAAACCTCCAATGGTTCAGGTGTGATAATATATAACAGCTGTTTGACTGTGTCTATATTTCGCACGATGCCTAGATATAAATGGATACATATATCAGTGCTGCACAGACAGACTAATATTTTAGTAATTACAACTTTCTTACTTACCTAATCCAACATAATCTCCAAATTCAATTTTATCAATTGAAAGTGCATGGTTGTCGATTACATCAGTCAAACAACCAGTCTGTCAAAAAATGTTGTTCATTATGTGTCAGTAAAATAAGCGAGATGCCCGGCATCACGTTTCCTGGAATTATTTTTTTCTTTTTGGAAGGGTACCTATAAATCTTCAATGCTGGCTCATTGGGCATGAAAGGTGCACATTTCCTTAGAACTGAGCACCCTTTTATACACCTGTTAATATATCTGCGATGGGTAAGAGCCACAAAAGCCCACAAGCTTTATCCCACGATCACGCTCTGACATGACAATATTGCATGTAAACCCTCACAGCCTTTTCGTTGCTTTACCCCATTAAGCTGCAGAGCTTCCCCATTGACAAGTAAAATCGTCTGGCGTTAGACAAGTAAAAAATACGTAGGGCGCATTGCGCATCAATGGGTTAAGTCAGACAATGAAATACTGCCATACAGGCTGTATAAAAAACGCAATCTCGGAATTTCCTAAGAAATCACTTTGCAATTCTTAAGCATAAAAGATTTTAGGCCCCTGGGAATTGAAATCGAATTGCTAATATATCATATTGTTGTTGTTGTGCATTAAATAAATGGATAAATTTTGCTTTATGCACTCGCGTGTGTAATTTTGACAGTCGTGCTATTTTAAATTCCCAGGCGCCTAAAATCTTTTGTTTTGTCTTTAAAACAATGACGATTTCTTGGGAAATTCCGAGGTTGCGTTTTTTTTTATATATTAACCCCTCCCCCATATAATATCTGTAATCCTTCTTATAAAGTGTTCAACCCCACTACAATTTCGCTTCAGCATTCCTATTTTGTGTGAAAGTCTTTAACACTAACACATAACCCTGAAAAAGTTGGCTCAGTGGTGCCGCTTGCACCCACTACAAATTTTTCCACCCCTCCTTATAAACAAATGAAAATCCGCCCTTGATCTCTGAAAGTTGTATAGAAGACAGTCACGTTACCCACCATCTTTTTATTGCTCCTGACAAGACCGACCACACTGCCAATGATAGAATGGGTAATATCTTCAGGGCAAACCTGTTCGTAAAATAAATGAATTAGTGTGCATATAAATACATGTACAGAATATACAAATTTACATTATTCTAAAGAATTAAAGTGCCTATATCACTTGCTCTTTTTAATTTAGTGCAATAATTTCGAAGGTATAGGACTCTAAACTACCTACAGTTCCTGAGTCACAGGCTCCTATGCACAATGGACTGTTTGGAAAAAGGCCGAATTCAATAGCCGTGATTAGAGCCCAGGAGGCTGGGACTCAGGAACAGTCGGTTGTTTAAAGGCCTAGATCCTCAAAACTATTGCACCAAATCAAAAAAATGCTTTTGAACTTATTGACTGGTTTTTTACGCTCTTTTCAAATCCATAAAGGTCCCACAAGTGATATATGCACTTTAAGGTTACAGAACACCTTTGAGTGTTAATTTTGCCTAAAATGTTTTATTGGTTTCAATGAAAGCATTGAACTAGTTCTACTATCTGACCAAATTTGAACGAAAAATGTTGAGTTGAGTTTATTTAATAAAATACATTTCGCTGCAATAAGAAAAACATTGAAAATGTAATATTCAAATTCAATTTTCTCCCAAAAAAATTTGTGGCAATTACTTATTTTCAAACGAGTTGTTCTCCTGCGGGTTTTCCCGCAAAACGGCAAAAGGGTGTCCTGTAACCTTAAGTTAGTTGGCAGAATTCTCTATTCATATTTTTAGGCTATGCAAACAGTTTCAAATGCCAATAATTTACTTCTAGAATATTGATACATGTCATGCGCATTTGAGGTGTTTGGAAGTTCCTTTTAAACAAAACGCACTTAAATTTGTGAACTGTGCATCATTTCATTTACGAGCAAAATAATATCAAAAATAAAACCCAATAATTTATGAGCAAAATGCATTTGCAAGGCAAATTATATAAATTCCTCCGTGACTGATATTAATCAAGAGTCACTTGCCATTAAGAGTCACTTGCCCTTAATGAGTGACTACAATTAATAGCCAAGTAGGGCATACAAATTCTAAATGCCACTTATAATATAATAACCGAGCACATTCCACCAGTGCCGATATAAACTATACTAATTAATAGTATTGTCCAAGTCCATCTCAAGACAAATTTCAAATTTACTTACATCATCACAGGCACTGTAAAATTCGAGGCAAGCCAAAGGTATTGAATGTACAGTAGAATGCTGTAAAATATATTCCTGAACGGATTTGACACTTGAAATACTTTGGTGAGATCCGAAATATGACAAAAGAGACAAAGATCGAAGTTCACTGGCCTGCAAACCAAATCTGAAAAGAAAACGTGTGCACTTATGAAATATATCCAGAGTTTTTAGAAGCCATTAGTCGATCAGCTGGAAAAACAGGCGCAGGTAATCGGTTACTAGGTTCCTCTAAAATAACAGACCAACCAAAGAAGCTAAAAAATCGGTGTGCTAGATAGCATGCACATGCGCCTAACGGCATGGCATTTTGAGGAAATTATTAAATAAATATACATCAGTGCATGAAGTACAGGAAAGCATAAGCAAACCATAGACTGAGCTAGCTAAATGAAAGGCTACTTAGAGAGAGGAAAGCATGATCAAAGGACTGGTTACTGGAGATATAATGTGTTATATACACCAACAATAGATTAGATAAAAATAAGGCAGCAGTCCTAGAATTATCTTATGTAATAGTGCAGATGTTATAACGCTTACCCTTTTGTCATCTCCACAGTGTTTTTAAAGGCATCAATTTGACGAATATCAGGGCACACCCAAGAGGAACTAGAGAAAAACAAGATGACAATTCCAACGTGAATTAAGTACTGGCTTTATAGTTTTCATAATTCTAAAATTTCTTAAGATTCTGTTTCAGAGACGAAAATGAGGAATACGCTGACATCAAACACCTTCAGAAACGTTTTTCCGATCAAACACCTGATACGCACACTATGTAGGTCCAACAAACTCTGCAAGCACATTAGTATTTATACTGTAGAAAAAGCAACTCATATTAAAAAATACCAGTGGCCTATTTTGATACTTGATTTGTGTCATCGCATTACCGCAAAACATTGCAATTTGTCTCCACAGAAATAGCCGCAGGTTTTGGAAGGCGATAAGACAGGAAGAATTTCCTGAAACTTTAAGTTACCACCTGGATTGGTGCATAGGAGGAATACACAGTTGTTAAAAGAAAAATGAAGCAGGTCATGTATACTTTAAGCCAAATCCCCATACGTTCCTTAACCGGTTTCAAAACCTACAGAACGATACACTGAAATTTTTACATCTAATATATAGGTTATCATTGTATCACAATACCCACCTTCTGGCGTCAAACTCGTAAGTCCAACCTTCTTCTGACAATAAAAAGTCTTCAGTCAGTACTGGAAGATTTTTCATCGGCTGAGAGTCTGAATTGATTTCTACGATGTGACTAGGCTGAACGATACGGATGATATCCAGCAATATTCGAACACCCATCCCTGCAAATACACAAATGTGGTTAATTAATTGATAGTCGTATTTAAGCTCACTTGAAAGATGATTACGAAAACTTGTAGAAAATTCTCTGGCACTATCTTGTAATTATATAGCAGCCAAATCTCATTAAACACCTTGCAAACACTCCTTTTGAAGTAAGTTTGATTAGTGGGAATGGAAGAACCATAGATATCTTATATACACTAGATAGTGCATTTAATTATTCTGCAATTCAAAAATTGAAGCCGTGATTGCAGACTCGTATATAGAGAAGACTCGTATATTTTCTATTTCTTAAACAGGGAACTTAAGCCGTGTTTACACTACGAGCCTAAGCCTGGCCCTACCTTTGGACGTGATTTTTGAAGTGGAAACGCACTTCGGCCTGGCCTAGGCCAGGAAATCTGGACCACCTGTTTCGATGGGCCGAGATTTCCTGGCCTAGGCCAAGCCGAAGTGCGTTTACACTACAAAAATCTAGGCCAAAGGTAGGCCTAGGCCAGGCTTAGGCTCGTAGTGTAAACACAGCTTTAAACATTAAGTTAAACCTATTCCAAACACATTTTCAAACTATTCCAATGATGAAAGTTATTGTTGTTTTTTAAGCGTTTATTAGCGAGTGGCAAACTCCAATATGACCGCAATCTATTCAAATGGGGGTAACCGCTGGAATATTCTTGGCTTCAATTTTACTAAAAGAGATGCGCTATCTAGTGTATATAAGATATCTATGGGAAGAACACTCGGATACAAATCCAGGTGCATGGTTAACCACACATATGCATGCAGCTCAATCAAATCGACAAATTCTCATTCACATCAACTGAACGCATCATACAAATACGAGTCAAATTGTACATCAGTTTGCCTATTAAGGTAATTCCGCAGTAATTGTTCCCGAAATGAGAATGTGCTGAAACTTCCCACGCATGGAGTTTATGATATAAATAAAATAAAATCACACAAAAAAGTCGGGGTCACCGAACTCGTTAAGAAGATATGACAATCACAATATACCACCTTTACCCCAATATGGCGCCATCTTGACGCTCATTACGAGTAACAGCAAACTCACAACAGCCCGATATTTATTGACGTTTTTAGCGCGGATTTTGCTTTAGTAAGCCTATCTTGTAATTATTTTTCCTGCCAATAATCAAGTAAATCGACACTCGGACAACGTATTTGCGTGACGCCAACAAGTGGTCAAACTGGATGACATGCTACATTTATACAGAATTAATGACTGAAGTTGTTGATTTTTCCCTCCACTTTCTTGACAAACACAATATTAAACACGATTATTTATTTTTGTGGGAGAGGGGTTCGGGGTTGTGAAGAGTCCATTTACAGTACAATAGCTGCACTGATTCTGAACTGGCTGCTGATAATCTGACCAAGATTCACTTGGACAGTCCTAATCTGACCAACTGGAGCACGAAAACCCAGTATGGACAGTCCTTACCCTGACCAATCGGAGCGCAAAACCCCTATGGACAGTCCTTAACCTGACCAAAGGCATTAAACCCATATGGCCAGTCCTTAACCAGAACATGGGGGGTAAACCCCCATGGACAGTCCATAGATTTAGATATATTATGTGTGACATATATTGAGTCTATGGGCCTGAAGTTGACATTTTATGGAGACTTCATCCCCACAAATACACAGAATGTGTATTCCCAATAGACGAACCCTCCCCCCGAAACGTTGTTAGTTACTTAGCGGTTAGCACATCTGTCAAAGCGGCTGATACCCCAGATAGAGTTGCAAGACAGCTGCTGCCAGATGACAGTTAGACATATATTTGAGCGTTACCATCACTCATACTATAGCTGGATAATCAGGGAGGCCAGAAACAAACCTGGAATATACAGGAAACCTGGATGGGGCCAAGACAACCAGCAGCTTCCCCACAAAGCTTCTATCTTACAAGTTCTTAATTGGAGGGTTGGTAACACGACAAACAAAGCTCACCATCAAGGCACATATTTATTTATTTATATATTTTTTTAAATGTTAATGTGTTCATTAAGACGTTTTGCACAACATTTATTTGTTAACCACTCTTATTTTATTTCAATTATGATTGGTGGAACTTTCCTGAGTTGCGTGGCATTACTCTCAGAAAAATAGCTTGTTCATTAGTTTAATTCGAAATAGCAGGGCCAAAATGCAATTCAGGTGCTTATAACCAGTGTTGTGATCGAACATCCAATCATGCATTCATGATATTAGCAGAAATTGTAAAATATGTATTTGGTAGATTAAATATATCATGCAGTTAAATGATAGTACATCAACGGATTTTCAATTTTCATGAGCGTAGGCATGCATTGTAATGTTAGTGACGTACCAATCTTTCATGATATCCATCTTGCCGACTTATCGCAAATGTAGATAAATATATATGTGCAGAGTTTGAAATCTTAAATTTCGTTAACAAATGAGCTTGCTTTCTTATGTTTTGAACAGTAGAGTATTGACAATGTTGCAGGTCCAATTAATGTTAGGTTTTGTTAGTTGACCTGCATCTAGGGACGCAAAGCCTCATTAATATCATTAACTCGACGAAAGACACGCAAAATCACTGTTTCTTATTGGCTGTCTTAACGCAAAATAGCAAGATTCGATTGGCTGTTGCATTACCTTTCTTGTATGCTAAATATGATGTCCTGAGTTATTTGTTTTGTAATTTGCATGGTCATGAAATATAGGTAATAAATCATTACTATATGCAGATAGTCATTTTGACAGATTATGCTCGCAACCCACTGTTAATCTGCCCAATGGAATTTGTCTTTAGTCTTTACTATTAGTACAAAGAACAATTTGTATAGATAGAAAACCTATACTCGAGCTGCGTGCCAGTCAAAATTGTACATTTCGCAAAGCATATTTCGTTCGGCTGGACAAATTAATTTTCGGGCTTGTCTGATTGCCACTCTTGGTCTTGGAGGCATGGCTCAAATTGTTTGTTATAGTGCGTTTGCAGTCTGTACTGTACTACAAAAGCTCACATATAATTAAGTTATGCGTATATGAACTAAGTCTAGTGACATTAAAAATAGGCCTACTATACAGGGTGTATCAAAAAAAAGGAGACCTTTAGAAATCAAGCATATTGTTAAAATTTGAATGCCTTTTCAATTGCACATATGCTGAACCGTAGTGCGTGAAATATTGATGGATGCATATATTAGAAAAAGGAGACCTTTAGAATTTGAAATAACGTTTAAACAAAAGATTGTCTGCTCCTGGGATCAATCTGCTATGTGCTTAGCAAAGTGCTCCAGGATTCAAATTATAACAATGGTTGATTTCTAAAGGTCTCCTTTTTCTAATATATGCACTCCATCAATATTTCACGCACCACAGTTCAGCATATGTGCAATTGAAATGGCATTCAAATTTTAACAATATGCTTCATTTCTAAAGGTCTCCTTTTTTTTGATACACCCTGTATATCCCAACAGTATATCCAGTATTGTGAGTTGCGGCATTGTGAAATGTACGCGTTAAACTTTTGTGGCTTAAAGCCTTAAACGAAATCGCAGTTATAGCTTACTCGCCGCTTTGCCTTTAATTAAGGCTTTGGCCTGAAAGGAGTGAACGAGTTATGACATTGAGATGCATAGGAGTTCGCTTGTATATCTATTCGATCGTTCTTTTATTCTTTAGTAGACGGTTCTGTTCATATATTCATGCAAATTCTACCAAATTTGCTTCATGCAACGTGTAATGCGAATGGAATTTTGTCCTGGTACAACGTTTGAACATTAATTTTATGTACGTCGAATTGTGACATGTCCTTTTAAATCTTGTAGTCATTACTTCAATGTGGAATGATCTATACTTTTAAGATCAGTTAATAACAACATAATTATGTATCTTTATTATATAAACTATAGTGCATTGCTATTTCTGCGCACCCATGTATTACTCTCTATATATTGAATAATATAATTATATTCATCTGTACCTAACAGTAAAATCTACACTTAGGTCGCTATTATGCACCTTATTAGAACATATCCTTTATGTAACCAATCAAATTTGAGATTTTTGGCTATGCAAATTTTATAACTGAATATAAGCTCGTTTACGTCCTTAGATGCAGGTCAACTATTAACGTGCGCTAGCTCTGAAAAAGAAGTTTATAAGTTTACTTTTGAACGATTGAATCCAGTTCAACGTAAGACCTGATTGAAAAGCCAATCCAACGCCGAATCTGAGGCGTAATCTGAAGCCTAATCGGCGGCTAACCTCAACGAAGCAAACGTGTGAATTCGCCGCATCCTTTTAAATATACGCACCAAATATATCCGTTTCACTTAATTTAAGCATGTACGCTAGTTGAATATTTCGTGTTTATGTAGCCTCTCGATCTTGTTATAATTCCCCCAGCGGCGGTTTCATTAAATGGAAATAACTTCATTGGTACTTGAGCCGTCGTATTCATTAGTCCACCAGAAGAGTAAAAGCACTTGACCACGGTAGAGTTATATTGGATAAACAGCATAAACTGCGTCTCACTGGATCGTACATCGATCGTACATCGACTGGTTTATGAACTTAGACAAAAAAATGTTTAACTTTGTAGTCTTAATTGACCTGAAAAAAGCATTTAATACTGTTGATCATCAAATTCTGTTAAGAAAGTTGGAACTTCATGGAATAAAAGGAAAAGCTTTGACCTTTCTTAAATCTTACCTCACAAATCGAAAACAGAAATGCCAAATAAAAGGATCCATTTCATCAGAAAAATCGATCAAATGTGGTGTACCACAAGGCTCTATTCTTGGGCCACTATTCTTTCTAATATATATAAATGATTTGCCTCAATGTCTAAATAATACAAAACCTCGGTTGTTTGCTGATGACACAAATCTAACCGCTACTGGAGATTCTATACCTCACCTTGAGACTGCAGTGAACTCTGATTTGGAAAACCTTAGAAAATGGTTAATTGC